AGGCAAAATTATATTACAAAGCTTGAGAAATCATAAAGATACTTCCATTTCCTTATAGAAATCTTATTCATAAAGTAGCTTAATTAATGCTTTTTTATGTTGTCCATTCTTGGATTCTTTTTTCAGTGCTGGCCTCAAACTCAGGGCATCACACATAATAGGCAATTGCTCTACCAATGAGCTATATGCATATCCTTTAACAAATGCATTTTATAAATTTAGAGAAAAAGTTATTTGGGGGCTCTTTTTCAAATTCCTAATCCTTAAACACACTGTATATTGTTATATTTTAAATAACTAGAAAGATTAATGATATTTTATAAGGCGTGAATAGATTTAGTGTTCAATAAAGTACAGAATTAAGAAGACTGAATTAAATTGGTTAAACAAGTGACAAATTAGATTTGGTACCATTCCTCCTAGTCTCCTAGTATGTCAAAAATCATACTCCCATATCAGAAAATGTAGGCTTATCCACTGGGAAATTGACAGTGGGTAATAAAAATCAGTAACATGAGGAATTTCAAATGTTCCCCAATTCTTCAAGTATTCACTATTACTAGTTGTGATCAACAGTCTATAATTCTCCAGATGGCAGTCTACTGCCACCACTACCTGGGAAGAAGTCACAGGGAAAGTTACTCAGCCTTCCTGAATTTAGTGAGAAAGATACAGAGGTGCACTTACTAAAAGAAAAAAAAAAGTATTTTCTTAATGCCAAAATGGATCTGAAATACAAGTTTGCATAGATCTACAACTGGGCTATAAGCACACTCATGGCTCGCTTTGCTATATTAGAGGGGGGAGAAGGTCCAAATCCTTTTACACTACCCATCAACACATCTTTCTGTCCATTTATCCATCAATAGTCTGCACATCCATCTTTCATCCACCCACTAAATACCCACAAGGATACCTGACATTCTTTGCATTCATTTTCAACCAGGTTTAACTTATGGTTTAGATATGAAGTGTCTTCCAAAAGCTCATGTATGAGACAATGCAAGAAAGTTTAGAGGTGAAATGATTGGATTATGAAAGCCTTAACCTAATCGGTACATTAATCCAAAAATATGGATTAACTGGATGGTAACTGTAGGCAGTTAGGGTATGGCTGGAGAAGGCAGGTCATAAGGAATTATATTTTGTCCATAGTGAGCAAATCAGTCTATCTCTGCTTCTGGTAGTCATGTCCTGAGATACTTCCTCTACCACATTCTTTCAACATAATGTTCTGCCTCACCTTGGGCCTAGAGCAATAGGGCCAGCTGTCTATGGACTGAGGCATCTGAAACTGTGTCAAATAAACTTATCCTCCTCTAAAATTTTTCTTGTCAGGTCTTTAGGTCACAGTTGCAAAAAAGCTGCCTAAACCAACTTACATCTTTATACAAACAAAAAAACTCTGAAGGAATTTTGATTGCTATTCCCCCATCCCAAGTTTGTACCAAATTGGGAAGAAGTGAAAGGATGGGTTGAAGAAGAAATTCAGTTAGATTTACCTCCCCTCCCCACTATGGTGGATCTGGAGGTCTACAAATTTGGATCCATTTAGCACCTGCCATCCACTGAAGGATATGTGTGTGTGTCTGTGTTTGTGTATAATATATATATATATATATTTATCTCCATCCCAGAAACAGACTACAAAGGAAGTGAGTACTATCAGTCTACAAAGGTCAGTGAAATCTCACTAAATTACCAAAAGACAAATGCATGTTGTTTGCCTAGGAATCTCCTGCACACAATTTATTGAATGAGGCTCAGTTCTATTTCAATAATTACCATTATGAAATCAATATTTTTGTGACAGGGAAAAAGCATAAAAATTCTTCCTCCTTTTCCTCCTCCACTTCCTAATAAAAGTGAATAAATAAGGAGAAGGGGTTGGTTTTGACAAGGACTGGAATTGGGGAGGCAAGCAAGGAGAAAGAGAAGAGCAAAATGTAGCACTCAAAGAGAAAATAAAGTATTCAAGGGTGGCTGGCTAGGAGACAGAGGAGAGGAGAGAAGAAAAAGTAAAATCTTAGCAGATTTTACTTAGAAGGAAATGGGATTTGGAGAAAGGGAATTTAATGAGATTTTTGGAAAAGTTTTGCAATAAAATGTGATTCCCCCCCCCCTGCACATGTTCCATACAAACCACAGGTCCTCAAGGCTTTCAGCAAGGACCTAGATTGTTTTTGCAAAGCTTCTTAGGGTTGTATTTGTGTTTCCTTTAATGGCACAGCCTGCTGAGGTGAGCCTCAGAGCAAGAACAAACAGCCTAGATAGACACCAGGCATGTATACAAGGGGACATCAGAGTGAATTAAAAAAGGCACTTACTAAGCCCATTTTTAGCAATTGTTCTTAACTTCAGTGGTCTACTTTATTTCTAAATCCCAAATAAAATCAAGGAAATGAATACATGAATAAAATCCCAAATAACAGCATCATAATTTCTCTGTCAACATATGATGCCTGCTAGAAAGGAATGGTAGCTGGGCACAGTGGTGCACGCCTGTAATCCCAGTGGCTTGGGAAGCTGAGGCAGGAGGATTGTGAGTTCAAAGCCAGCATTGACAAAAGTGAAGCACTAAGCAACTCAGTGAGACCCAGTCTCTAAATAAAATACAAGATAGGGCTGGGGATGGGGCTCAGTGGTCAAGTACTCCTGAGTTCAATTCCCAGTACTCTACCCCACCCCAAATAAAAGAGAGTAAGGAATGGTAACTTTGAAACATTGAGAAGGAAGGGAAAACCTCCTTTTGGGAATTGCTTGTGGACTTAATTAACTAAAGACTACTATTTGAGGTCCTGTTGCTAAAGTCATAGCAACTGCAGAAATAGCAAATATGGAGAATCAATAAATAAGTGTCATTAGCACTCACAACCTCCACTTTATGATGAATCCTGTGCAGGTGAAAAATGCTGATGTGAGGGAAGAGGCCAGCAACAGCTTCACATATCAAAAAATATATTAACTATGGAATGATGGATGTAAAAAAATGCACTACACTCCTAGCGGGCTCATCAATCCTGATGGCTTCTCTGGAGTAGACTGGTGGTTTTTCATCAGCCCTCCTCTCTGGCTACTCTTACCATCTAAACATCCCCCTTAGCAATTCCTACTCTCACATCCCTGGAGGTGACACTGGAGTACATTTATAACCCTGACCTCTTTCCAGAGCTCCAGACCCAGATTTCCAACTGACCTGCTGGGGCTGGCCAGATGGATGGCCTGCTGACACCTCACAATCAGCTGGGCCAAAACAGAATTCATTTGCTGAGGCTCTTCTCCATGTCCCCCTTTGTGAATGAGAAAACCAAATCACTGAGTTAATCCCCAGCTCAAGGTCACTCAGCAACCAATAAAGGTCAGAATTTGAACGCTGAGCTCCTATTTCCAAATCCCATCCACATGGTGCACTCCTTTTCAAGGCTTCCATCTTACCATACCAGTGACTATTTGTCATGAGGAGAGCAACAGTGACCTCGCCTGGCCTCTCCTCCCCCAGTTACTCATCTTGCTTTTCTTTTCTTTCCTTTTCCTGTTTATGGGTCCTCACTTATTGATGCCATGCTCTGATTACATCATTTCACTTTCAAATAAACAGGCAGCATAACATCACAGTCTCTAAAGCCATACTTCCTCAATTTGAATTCCAGCTCGACCTCATACTAGCTATGTGGTATTAGGCATGTTAGTCTCTGTATATAATTGGTTTTCTATGTGTGAAATGAGAATGGTTATATGACACATAACCTCACTATAATGAATGAATAAGTTAATATGTGTAAACCAGTGGGCACATGGTTAGTGCTATATAAGTCTGCTTACTCAGTATTATTACTATGTATCAATAAAAAATTACCTATAATAACTCAGTTTGACCTTTGTGGCCCTCTACAAGTTGACCTTCACTCATCTTTTAACAAAAATCCCCTTATACACAAACAACTCACTCCTACCAGGTTGACCCAACACTGTTTCATAAATAATTTTTTTTTTTTTGCCCTCCTGGGACTGTTATTTTTCCAAGTTTCTTTCTCAGCTTGGAGTGACTTTCCCAGTCCTCATTCTCAGGGTCTAGATGGCTTGTGTGAATTTGTTGTTCATAACCAGATTCCAATTTTCTCTTCTCCATGAGGCATCTTAGCTGGAGTCAACCCAACCCGATAATGACCCCATTGAGGGTACCCATTTCCGGGTCATGCTGCCTAAATTGGACTTTCCTGCCCTTTCTCTAGTAGTTATGATCCCAAGAAAGTGATTTAACTTCTCTCTATGCCTGAAAATCTTAATGGAGATTAAACAGCACTTTCTTTATAGGATCTTAGACACTAAATGAGACATTAAAGGTCTCAACACTCAAGAAATACCAGCAATTGCTTATAGAAATACACCTGTTTGTTTTCATATATGTCTCTCTGTTTTGTTTTCTGGAACCTTGGAAGAAAAATGGTAGCTTATTGCTCTTAGAGGATCTTGTATCTAGCTTTAGGGAGGGACTACTAAAGACTTAAATGTTCATTGAATGCGTATCCATCAGTCAACCTTCCTGCCTTAGGAATGCAGTTGGAGCATAGTGAATGTTTGGCTCAGGTTCACAAATCTGAATATCTATTCTATTGAATATCCATTCTAAAAGATATAGGACATTTGCCCAAATCCAGAGGAAAAATCAGTATTTTGGTAATGAATTATTTGCTTTCTGTTTAGATTTTCCCTCACTACAGAATGAGAAAAGAAAGCAATTCCAGTTCTGATTAATTATGGAGATCTTAGACTTGTTGAATTTTAATTCCAAGAGTCATTAAAACATCTGAAATGTGAGACACTCTTTAAAAGTTTCTTGAATCAAGAATTTCTCACTCACTTGTTGGGAGATATGAAATAATACAAAACTATGTGGAAAAGGCATAATAAAACCAAGCAACAAATATCAAATGTAGTTGAGTATTAAGAGCTCAAGGTTCAGAGTTAGACAGAGTTCAAATCTTGGATCTGTCACTTACCAGCTGTGTGACCTCATGCCACTGAACTGTTCTGTGCCTCAGTTTCCTTAACTGTAAGTGGGGACACTAATGCCTGTCTCATAAAACAGCAGAGTGCCTGAAAAATAACAAACACTCAGTAAATGGTGTATGTTAATGACAATAACAACAGCAACAACAACAATAGTTTGGGAAAACAAATTTGACCTTTCCTTTAGTGTCAATAATCAATTTACAAAAATCCCCATGAGCCAGGTATGATGGCACACCTGTAATCCCAGTGACTTGGGAGGCTGAGGCAGGAGGACAGTGAGTTCAAAGCCAGCCTCAGCAATTTAGCAAGGCCAAGCAATTTAGTGAGACTCTGCATATATATATATATATATAGCTGGGGATGTGACTCAGTGATTAAATACACCTGGGTTAAATCCACAGTACCAAGAAAAAAAATACCCATGAATTAGAGAGCAATCACATTTTGGGTTCTAATAAAATCTCTAAGATAGCCTTAAAGCGAAAACACAAATGGCTTAGATTAGGGCAGTATTACACTATGCTTGCCTCCTTTGCATCGTTACTTTCTGATCAATGTTTTAGATTCATTTCTTAAAATGATGCAATTCTGAGATATTATTTCATGCCTTGAAGATAAAGGGGAATGCTTTGGGAGGCAAGTATTCATGAAGAATAGTCCTAGCCATAGAATCAAAGGCTATAGCTTGAAATACTATACCTTCAAATCTAGTAATTTTATAGATTTAAAAAACTAAATTAAAACCAAACAAGCAAACAAACAAATAAAACCCCCAAAAACTCAACTAGCTGACACCTGGAGGCCCAAAGTTTATAAATAAAGTGAAATTTTCAGTTTTCCTGAGATAACAAGTAATAAAGACAGTCCCAGTCATCAATCAGCATTGTGACAGTAGAAAGTGCCAATCAGCTCACCTGACATGGCTGGAGTATCATTTACCTTGAATGCAGTAAGGGAAAAGCCAAGCACTAAAGAAGTACTCCACTGAAATAGGTCATTCATGTGGATCAATGGTTACATAGATATCTATTTGTAAGATGGGAACAATTAACATTGACCAGAGAGGTCTGGAGCCTATTTAATGTCAGTGGTGATGTAAAAATCAGAAACTTTAGATGCAGAAAATGGCTGAAGACTAAGACTCACAAATCACATACAAATACATATTTAAAGAAACTATGAAATGTGAGCAAGAAAAATTGTGTAGACCTCACCTTACTAAAAAGACACTGATCAACTTAGCTCAGAAATAACTTGTAATATGTGCTGCTCAGTTAAAATCTCCAGGTTTTCCAGAGATGGAAGTGGTTTTCTTTGGTAACTCCAGTTAGCCTACTAAATGACAAAACTGTCCACTATGCCTTTTTTCCCAAAGAAATAATCATTTTTTTTTCCTAAAATGTTAACCAACATTCAATGTTCTCAAACTGGTTTCTCTGTTTCTCTTTCTCTCTCTCTCTCTCTCTCTCTCTCTCTCTCTCTCTCTCTCTGTCTGTCTCTCTCTCTCTCTGTCTCTCTCTCTCTCTGTCTCTCTCTCTCTCTCTCTCCTTTCATATAAATCCAGTTTTTTGTCTTCATTCTTTCTCTGTAGAAAATAGTCTACAGACTATTTTCCTTATAACTAAAAGTACATGCAAATAATTAGAAGTGTCTGAAAAGTGTTGAGTATTGAAATGTTATGTTCATTTTCACTGGAAAATGACATTTATGAAATGATGGCTAATGACCTTTATAATACAATCAACACTTTGTAATCAGCCTAAGCAACACTTGGCAAGCTGAGAATCCAGTCCTTAAGTATCTCTAATGGCAAACCTGATATATCATAGGAAGAAGCATAAAACTGAATCTGTCAGCCAAGGAAGGTGGTGCATGCCTGTAATCCCAGCAAACTGGGAGGCTGAGGCAGGAGGATCACAAGTACAAGGCCAGCCTCAGCAATTTAGCAAGATCCTTAGCAAATTAGTGTGTTCTTGTCTCAAAAAAAAAAAAACTGGAAATGTGACTAAGGGGTAATGTGACCCTGGGTTCAATTCCCAGTATGAAAAGAAAAAATGGGGGGCTTGTGAAGGGAAAATAGCTCAGTGTTAGAGTACCCCTACAATCTATCAAGGAGAACAATTCTAAAGGAATTTGGAATTCACTCTTAAAATGGATGGTGGAAAAAATCCCATTTGCCATTGAGTGACTTAATAGCTGTCCACATCTGTTAAGTAATCTTATTAAACAGTTTCCAATGATACGGTGATGTGTCCGCAAGATGTTAGTCAGGCTATACCTGATCTCTTATTTCATATGTTCCCAGGAATGCTATGAGAATACAATGTGCCAGAAATTAATGAATTTTCAAATTGTAGAACTAAATATGGATTCAAGTTTAACCATAAGTAAACCAGGACAGGTGAGAATGTCACCTGTGGGCTTACAGGTATAAAAACAAAGAACACAATCCATGAGGACAACAGACACAGATGTTGAATCTACAAGGGATTATATGCATGCTGTCCTAATATGAGAAAAGTGCCTTGGAACTTTCAAAAACCATTATTTGGAGTTCTATAAAATAATACTTTGTCTAAGTTGAAACTGTGCTTATTCAAAAAAAATTCTCCAAAAAGTTCTCTCTAAAATTTGCATAAACTGAAATTGTCTGGCTCCAGATAGATATTCATTTTTTCTACACTCTTCCCTCACTTATCCTAACAAGATTATAACCCCTAATTTGTGCTGACATTCTTCTCACTATAGAAATTCTTCCTTCCTGCTGCCCTTCACCCCAAATGCTTTGGCCTCAATTGAACAACTTTCAAACATTTAAGGACCTCTCCACATTCTCTGTTCTCTGGCTGAAATTTCCTTTCCTCCACTAACTGGTAAACTCCTACTTATCCTTGCAGATCCAATATGGAGCACAGGCAAGTCAAGCTCTGAAGTGAAATGGACTGATCCTGAAATCCCAGCTCTGTTCCTGTCTAGGCACTTGCCCTTATGCAAGCTTCTTCACCAATGGAAACTTCTGTTTCCTTATTTTTATAAAGGCAATAATGATGCTACCTGATGGCTACTGCAAAATTTATTTCACCAACTGCCTGGCCAAATGTCCTCCAGGTATGATGTATTCCACACTGTGTCTTCCTTTCTAATGGCTTGGCTTAACTTGGATAAAATTATGCAAACATTCCTAAATTTCTGAAATATTTTACAATCATTTTTAACCATTGTCAATTTATATTTTTAAAAACTCTCATCTATATCCCCTAATAGTGTCACTTCTTCCAGACAACAGACTATTTTATCCTTTTTTTATTTGAATTATAGCAAACACACTGATTGGCACATACCAGGTGTTCAACCATTGGCCACAATGGATGCTTGGTAAATGTTTGTCAAGTGAATGGATGGTTGAATGAATAATGTAGTTGGGATTTCTTTCGTTTATAAGTCAGAGGCAAATACAGATGATGTGATAACTTTCCTTTCAATCTGCTTTTCATCTTCCCTTTTATTTAGGACTATATGCTGACCAGGACGTATATCTATGATTAGATACCACTGCATCTGAGCACTGCTATAATCTCAATGTGTCCCTGCAAAATTCATGCTGAAACCTAATCCCCATTTTGTGGTATTGAGGGGGGAGCATTTATGAAGTAATTAAGTCACTAGGGATGTGCCATCATGAATGGATCAGTATCCTTATAAAAGAGGTTGAAAGATATTCCTGGTCCTTTCATCATGGGAAACCACAACAGTCCCTGTTCCATCAATGTGAAAGCACAGTAAAAGGGCACCATCTTTTAAAGAGAGTGATCCTTCACCAGACACTGAATCTAATCTACTGGTGTCTTGATCTTCAGTTTCCCAGCCTCTAAAACTGTACTTCTATTATTTACAAATTCATATATATTCTCATAGCAACCTGAATTGACTGAGCCAAGTGCATGCCCCTTTTTATATTCATAAGTCAACTCAAAACATATGCAGAAAGACATAATATTCTTTGAAAGTCTTTTTTATCATGAAGGTAGTAGGACCTGATACCCATCAGTTATTAACAGTAAAGCAATATAACCATACAAAGAACTATTTAAACCAATTATCTTCCTAAACTTTTATTTTGCAAGGCAGTTGACCTCTCCACCTAGAGGGTACAGACCACTGTTGAAAAGCACCTACACAGTCATTAAATTCAAAGGCAGATTTGGTTGTCAGAACAATTATTAAGGAAAAAATAGCCCTTGATAATTTCCTTACCTTATATAATCTAGATGGTCCATCAGAGTGTACTTCATTACCTCAAACTCATATCCCCCCAAAATTCATACACTAGACACTTAAAATATTACACAGAATATTTCTGGAATGTATGCATTTCTTATAAATCCTAACTGCATTTTTCCTATTTAGGTACATGTGCTTTTCCTCTGGATCCTCAACAACTCTACATTGACCAAATTTCCTGAACAATGGCAGTAATGATAATTTTTATTTTACTTTTGCAATTAAAAAGACATTAAGCTAATAAATAAATGGAACAGAAAAGTCTCTGAATGAACACTTGCCTACAAAAAGATCACCTTTAATTTTTGTATTAATCACAAGGCAAGGATTTCTACTACATTAAATTGCTCTAATTGCTTCCTTGTTGGTCAAAGTGTCTCCAGATTTTCAACCCTTCAGTCTGTTCTGTACATCCTGACCTCTTAAAACTCTACATCCTTTAAGTTATCCCCTTGCTTTCTCTGCAACAAAAAAAAAAAGAAGCAGCATTTCTCAGGGCTCAAGCCCTGCCACCTTCCATTGTCCCACAATCCACACCTGCTACTCTGCCAGAATTATTTATCCTCTGGGTTCACTTCACTGTTATTCCCCCATCAAAAGCTCTGAACCATCACACACACAGCTCGCCTTTTTGAACCACCTTTTCCTATCCCAGCAACACAAGTGAAAAGCTTGCCTTTGAAGTTGGACATTTTTCCTCTACCAGCTGTGTGCCCTTTCAGGCTCAGTATGGGATTAGTTTGTTCTTCTAGATCCAAATCATAGTTCTCAAAAGTCCACTAGAGATATTATAGGGAAAGAGC